AATTTTACCTTTTTTAAATATCCAGAGTAGAATAAATGCATGTAAGATTGATAAAAATTCATTTTAGATGTGTTTGTAATGTTAGGTGTAACGTAAAGTAGCTATAGCAGTATAAATTGTTGTAATTATTGTTAATTAGCAGTGCGTACAGTTCATCAAATGGGCTGTCGTTGATTGTTGTTGCAGTCAGCCAGACCTTTCAGCTAACCAGACCAGTCAGTGCTCCCCTCCCATCTCCTAGTCCGGCCACGGTTTTACTGCATCCAATGCAGAGGTCCATGGTCATTGCGCTGCTGTATTCATTCTCTCACAGTTGCTGGCAGTTTTCCATCATCGGAAGAATCAAACGATGGGGTAGTAGTGTTATTTGGTTAGTTCCCCACAACAGGTGTGTGTGTGGTGAGGCCACAACAACGAGCGGAGCGCCGGGCGGCTAAAGCGCAGCAAGTTGGCACAATAGAGGGCACAGGTGGTGCATCGGACAGTCGTTTCAGCCAGTCGACCCGTGTGGCACCTGGGTCTGACCCGTGACCTCCTGCCAGCGGGCGGTCAACACTTCACGTGGCCTCAACGGGCACATAGCCTGGCACAAGCACCGTGGAGACGTTACCGCCACTTCGTGACTGAATGGTGGTGGTTGTTGTTGTTGTGTAATTATAATCGGGTTCATTCACAACTGTCGCAGCTAGTTTGCAAGCCTGAATCGGGGGGGTGTGGGGGTGTGGGGGGAGGCAACACTGGAACCTCGTCGAGAAAGCTGTTCACCCTCCTGCGACACCCACGTCGCCTCTTATTCAAATGTGGCAATATTAAAGCGACACAAAAAAACGTTTAACAATTGTACATGATGTACTAAATATGTGAAATACAAAAAATGCCAAAACTACATGTACAGGAATGTACTGTGTGTACTTGTGAAGTGTATACTTCTATACGATGTTTATAAGTATGTATTTTAGCGACTTGAGTACCTATTTTTTCTAACTTGCTCTTAAATCGTTTTTTTTGTATTGTTTGTTGTTGATGTACTTGCTGGCCCACCGAACTGGACATCCGTCCAAAAAGAGTTTCATAGCTCATCGGATGCCTCCAGTCGAAATAAAGATTTCCATTATTCTTCTTGTTTCTTTCGGTAAAGTCACGTAGAAGGGAAGTAATAAAATAATAAAAATAAAACATAATAAAACAATTCTCACGACGTTTCGGCTACAACGCAAGCAGCCGTCTTCAGGTGAAGAATGAGACACTACCAAACTAGGAGCTTATATATAAGCTGCATTGGGGGTTGAAGAGCGCCTTAACAAAAAGAATGTGCATGTGAAGAGGGATTTAGCATATTCATGGAAAATGCGTAGGCGTTGGGCGGGGGGGTGTCAAAGTCATATTATGCCCATGCATTATGCAGGATCAGCAGCAACCAAGGGGGGTGCAGGGATTAGCAGTAACAAAGGAAAGGAATGTTAATGATATGTAGCTGCAGTTACTCAACAACCACGTAGAAAACTAAAGTATAAACTACATAAAAAACTAAAGTATAAACTGCATCGCACCATCAGTATACTTACTATACTCTATAATAAGCTGAGTTACTAACAGCAAGTAATACATTACAATTTTACCTCGTAAAAATTCTATAATATGCTTCCATCTAAACCTTATTCTCTTACATCACACGAGCATATACCGTACTATATACTGCCATAGATAAACCCAACATTAAATTATATACTGTATTGCTGTAAACCAACCTATATCTTATACATTTAATATCACACTATGTATTATTCTACACACCCTAATGTGTATCGAAATGGTTTATTACGTCCTTCCAATGATTGCTGGAAGGACGTAATAAACCATTTCGATACACATTAGGGTGTGTAGAATAATACATAGTGTGATATTAAATGTATAAGATATAGGTTGGTTTACAGCAATACAGTATATAATTTAATGTTGGGTTTATCTATGGCAGTATATAGTACGGTATATGCTCGTGTGATGTAAGAGAATAAGGTTTAGATGGAAGCATATTATAGAATTTTTACGAGGTAAAATTGTAATGTATTACTTGCTGTTAGTAACTCAGCTTATTATAGAGTATAGTAAGTATACTGATGGTGCGATGCAGTTTATACTTTAGTTTTTTATGTAGTTTATACTTTAGTTTTCTACGTGGTTGTTGAGTAACTGCAGCTACATATCATTAACATTCCTTTCCTTTGTTACTGCTAATCCCTGCACCCCCCTTGGTTGCTGCTGATCCTGCATAATGCATGGGCATAATATGACTTTGACACCCCCCCGCCCAACGCCTACGCATTTTCCATGAATATGCTAAATCCCTCTTCACATGCACATTCTTTTTGTTAAGGCGCTCTTCAACCCCCAATGCAGCTTATATATAAGCTCCTAGTTTGGTAGTGTCTCATTCTTCACCTGAAGACGGCTGCTTGCGTTGTAGCCGAAACGTCGTGAGAATTGTTTTATTATGTTTTATTTTTATTATTTTATTACTTCCCTTCTACGTGACTTTACCGAAAGAAACAAGAAGATGAATCCCTGCAGTCACGAAAGCTTTAAATCGAAATTTCCATTATTATTCTGAACTGCAATACCTGCACGAGCAGCAGTGCATTTTACAAAATGAATAAAACATCAAAAATAATGGCAATTAGTTGCCAAGGAAAGCCTCAATTTCGAGACCTTCAGAGCAGCCGTAAGATGTTTTGGCCAACCCATTCAGGCGTGGCTCGTGTGAGAAACCCCACACGCCGCTAACTATCTCTTGGCCAACTCACAGCCCCACATGCCTCTACAACCCCTGGCAAGCCCTGATGGTCACCCAACCAAAAATCACAAACCAGGCTCAACCCAAAATCTGACGAAATCACGCGCGGTTTGGTCGTAGCCAATAGCGTCATCTAAATCAGCCGCGCTCTATCCACTGCCGAATTAATACTTCTCCAAGCTATTGCCATCCCTGGGGTCTCTCGTGGTGCAACGAAACCATCTGGCTCTGGCACATGAGCGCCTATCTCTTTGCTCCGGTGGTTGCACTGGCGGGCGTGTTCACTCACTCGGCTCCCACTCGCCCGTTGGCCAACACTCCCCCGCTTGTGGGAATGAATCCTGTCCCCTGTAACCCCCACGCACACTCTCCTTAATGGCCAACGGTTATGTCTCAAACGTCCTTCTCCGATGCCAGTATTGCTCTTTGTGTCTCTCACTCGTGATGTCCACGACGGACCTCGGCGTCGATCCGTGTCTTTGTGCGCGCCCGTGTTTTCCCGTCTTCAACTCTCTCGCTCTGTTGCTAAGGGATCCTCTTGGCACCGATGCGTACAAGGCCCCCACTTAGTGCTGAAACAACTTGAAGCCCAGGAGCGCAGCGCGAAACTTCGTAGAGACTGCAGTTCCACACCCTTGCGGATTGTGGGTAATCAAATGCTAAAATAATATGGCAGACGCCGGCTGTGTTTTCAGCCCAATAAATATGAAATAACATTTTGGTGAGTTAGCCTGTGGGCATTATGGACGATTACTTTCCAGAGACACCTCTTCAAGCAACCGAACTCTGTAATGCTGCTGGTTTGTCGCATGATAAAGATGTGCGCTCTGCGTGATTGCTCAGAGACCCATTCAGTATAATACAGCAACACTATACAAAACCTTAAGCGTAATTTTAAATGTATAAGTCACTGCTGCACACACGTGCCTTGCATTATTCTCACATGCCTTGCATACAGCGATTATTGATGTTTGCGAGCGAATACGAGATCTCAAAAAATATATTTTTTTTATTTCCCCATTGCGCACACTTGTGCCATGCTCGACCTTTGTGATTTCATTCATCTGTCCCTCGGTGCTCCTCTGCATAAACCTTTGGCTCCCCCCCCCCCCCCCCAATTTTACGTGTTGCCAAGAATGTTCCTAGCCCATAGGTCAAAGCTGGCAATTTTCGGTGACGAACAACGTTCCTCCTCTACATCCCGTGGCATATTGTTCCTCATTAAAAACAACTATTTCAGATATTCAGCCATCATCATCATCAACGGCGGCGGCGATCGCCTTGTTAGATGGTGATCCCAAAATATATTCACTCCTACATTGGCTGATTTCATCACTCCGTCTCCGTGTTGGTCATCCTCTCAAAACACGTTCCCTCCTTTGTCTGATAATCTGCCACCAGTCTCGTCCCGATTACCCCCTTCGAGCGACGCATCCTGCTCAAGCACATTTTTGTTAAGTCAACGTGGTGTGCCTTTGTTCGCTGATCCCCGTGTTGCTCTGTCGAGATATCGGTGTCAATTCCAAGCGTATACTTCTTTGCACACTTTTCATCCTTCGTTCGTTTCCTTGTGAGTGTCCATGCTCCTGATACAGATGCCACGGTGTGTAATGGGCACAGATCGAGAATGTGCTTATTCGGCTGCATTGGTGTTGATTTTCACTCTGAAGTACAATAGAGTTTTAAAATAAATCACTACAACCTCCTCTCGTTGACCTCTTTATTTAATCGTTTTGATACTGATCTGATTAACGAAAGGAACAAAAAAAGGTTTGGAGGGATGCAATTGAAAACAGCAAATTTTGCATACCTATGATAATTGAGTATGTTATTAAAATGTATAAAATTGCATGTTTGTTTCAAGTGACGGTGGGTTGCATATGTATTGTGTGCACGCGTGTGTGTGTGCGTGTGTGCTTGCACCGACAAATCTGTTCGATACTTTGCCGTCGTGGGACAATTCTGACTTAAGAAAACGCAAATGCAGTCACGAGTCGCCGCTCAAGCATTTCGGGGATCCAAAGGTGTCAAGAGCACCGCAACAGCAAAATAACGACGACCACGACGATGATGATGAAAAAAAAACCCAATAATAATCATGAACGCACGTGACTGGTCAGGTGGCGGATGATGTCATGCCACCGACTGGAACGCCGCTCGCGTGCGTGCGAGCGAGCGAGCGCTGACTCATTCATTGGTCTCTGAGCCTCCGTGCCGCTGAGCTCCAAATCAAGCGTCTCGCTCTCCGCTCAGGGGCTGCCTCTGCTGCTGCTGTGACGCCGACGCCACCGTCGCTTCCTCCCAACACCAACCACAACAACAACCACCACCACCAACCACAGTGCCGGCGTTGCGACCGTTCGCTAAAGCCCGCCGGTGTTCCGAGGGCTCCCGCACGGTAAGCGAGGATCCCCGCACGCAGCAAACCCAGAAACACACATGCACACAAACACACTCTCTCTCTCTACCCCGCGGCACACACATTCATTCAACATGTGTGTGTGTGTGGAGTGCAACACTCGCTGCTTGTACGGCATATTTCCATTCTGACGATTCTATTTTATTTTAATTCTTCTTTGTTGTTGCAATTTATTCCGTGACATTTGAGCTCGGTCGTTGTTATGCGTGATGAGAATTTGGTTTTTAAAAAATCCCCAGCGTTTCTTTTTTACTCGATGAATCAATACGAAATTGCCTAAAATGGGAAAAAATGTCCAAATTTAAAACGTAGAATATTGAACGATGTAAATCAGTAACGATTTCCATGGTTTCTCTCAGCCTGTGCTGATTAAAAAACTAGCTATATTTATATATATATCCTCATGTATACTTACAATTGGCTAAAGTTAATTTAATATTGATAAACATATTTGTTTAGAGTATAACAAAGGGTTCCACAGTAATGACCGACCGTACATTAATTTTCAATGTGCGAGACCATATTTTTCCTGAAATTTGAATGGCATTTTAAAAAGGAAACCCATAGAACTACAGTCAATATTAATTCACTTTTAATCAGCACGACATGCAGCATATTTTTTCGTCATGTCAAACGGCCCCGCTCGACGGTGTAAATCATGTAAAGGCAAACATTGCATTGATTTGCTTTTGTGACATTCCAAACCATTCATGGCAACTTCCACTACCCCCCCCCCCTTCTCCTTATCAAATGCCAAACTGTTAAGGTAAATTACACGCTAATGCGAACCCCCTCTTACCAGCTCCCTGTTAAATAATTTGTAAGTGCAGGATATTACATAAGTGTTTTAGAGTTTGAGTACTCAACAGCCAAAACGTGTACTACATACCTGACTTTTTTTAAAAACACAATATAGAAAAATTACTTCTATAACGCGAAGGTTTGTAATTTTCGCTACATGTGTCGCAAGCAGTAGAACACATGAAGCTCTGTGTACGGTTTTTAATCATAACCACATTTTCACCGCCACACACCGTATCAGCGAGGTGATGCCTCCATGCCAAGCCATTTAATGAGGGCACCGATCGTGCCGGGAGGAGCTGCAGATTGAGCGGCTGTAATAGGTATGCCAGGTCCTCAATAGGGGATAAATAGCACCTGAAGGAGCTGCACATTGACCACGTGCAGTCAATATTCAGGGACATTGCTCATCTTTCTCAGCCTCTACCCCCCCCCCCCCCCCCGTCGCACCCAACCCCATCTGCCCCTTCACTCAAATTCACTGCCACCTTTAATTCTAGATTTGAAGCTTTCGTGACTGCAAGGATTCATATTCTTAGGTTTTTCGGTAAAGTCACGTAGGTAAAAAAATGTAAATTAATAAAAGTAAAATAAAATAAAAATCACGACGTTTCGGAGGCAACACAAGCTTCCGTCTTCAGGTGGAACCGTCACAGCCACGACAGCTGTATCAAGTAAATGAGAGATTGCAGGAGCTACCACTCCGTTTATATACCATCATTTATATACCACCAACCACCCCGCAGCGATAACCTCCCATAGAATCCAACCCAAACCCACCACCACGCGGCAGTGATTCACAGGTATTGCTCCTCATAGTCACACTTAAAACGACAACAGCAGGAATAATAGAGGGCGGTTGCAATATCGCGGAAATCAATGAAACGGAACGCATGCTATTTACTTTCTTCTTCGGCAACACAATCTGACCCCCCCCCCCCACCACGCCGCACCTCCCCAAACCTCAGTGGGTCTTCACACCCCGACATTGAAGGACTGTCTTGTCCGGGAGCAGCGGTCGAAATCCTGGGTCCACCGGCACTCATTAGCGCGGCCTGTAAATTACATCTCCCGTGTGCGTCAGCCCCCCCCCCCCCCCCCCAGTGCAGCTGCAATTCATTATCTCCGCAGTTCGCAACGGCATTTGTCGCAGCTGTCGGAGGAAAACGCAGCGCTCACGCGCAGCGTTTTCGCGTGACACCGTGACAGGTCGGCTGCCGAAGCCGTGCCCGTGAGAAAAACACGCGCACACACACGCAGACGCACGCAGACGCACGCGCACACACGTGCACACACGCACGCGCACACACCACACACACCACGCACACACGTACACACACGTACACACACGCACACACACGCGCACGCACACACGCGCACACACGCCACACACGCGCACGCACGCACCACACACACCACGCACACATGTACACACACACACGTACGCACACACAAACCGTTGAAAACCCTTCGCGCCGAGGGGGGGGGAGGTGAGCGACCGTGAGTGTGAGGTGCTCTCACCTCGCAATGCATGGCTCAGCGCTTTGAGAAACCCCCCACGTGTATTCTGTGCCCAGCGGTGCGCTGTCGTGGGCTCGCTTCACTTCCTCTGTGGGTTTTAGCTCCGAATGCCCAGGAGGGAGGCTTCCTGGCTTCGATGCGACGAGGGCCACGCGAAAAGCTCGCCGTCCGATTCTCCCCGACGTTCACAGACCCCACCGACTGTTGATGGGAGCGTTGTTACCATCCCCATCGGCAACAGTTTGGTAAATGGTGCTCCGAATATTGCGGAAACCTTTGTTACGGTCGAAGCATCAAATGGCAATGACCGTGATGATGCCTGGATCTTGCTCAGATGATTGCAATTGCCAACTGACCGACACGGAGGCGTATTTACTCAGGTAGCTCTTCAGCTTTTAGACCAAGAATCAAATCAGAACTGCGGCCGTCAACTGCATCGACATCTCTTCTAACCTTATATAATCGGGGCATCGTTTATCGGGCGACATTGATAGCGTACGTGAAGGTTGGAGGATCGTACACATTTGAAAGTCTCTTTCCATGGGCTACGATGAGGTACCATACACTGGGTCGCCAGGAGAAGGCAGTACAGCAAGTGGACTAACCTCCATCTGTTTCCATCTGTATGGAGATTGAGTTTTGTGGTGTTTCTCCGGGTGCTCTGGTTTCCTCCCACACGTGTACACGGTCATGGATTGGCTGAAGGCATTTTTGATGTAAAAAAGTATAACCCGTAAAAACAAAATGTTTCACTATAAATCCTTTATATGCGTGGCGGCTTGAGTCCTCTCGTCCTCTGGCTTGAGATGGCTGCCACTTATGGGTCAGATGATTGTCTGCCAGTATTAAGCAATTGGTAATTAAATATTTAATTTGTTTTCCCTAAACAGTGTAAAATTTTGGAGAAAAAAAATTCACGAACATTAATTGTCTCGCACAACGAGTCTGTGTGCAAAATGTCAGCTCGATTGGATCAAGGGAAGTGGGTTACAAAACGACCGAAAGATTTGCACAGGTCGTAAGCAAGCACGCAAGCAAGCGAACTTAATATAAAGGATTACAAAAAACCCAACGCAGGACTCTCACTGAAAATTATTCCTCGTACCCATCGTGGCTTTCCTGGACAAAAAAGTAATCAATACTATTGTAATTAATTTTATATATCCATTAAAAAATATGTAAGCCAGATTAAAGGTTGCGTAGGCTTGGACTGCGAAGTGGATAGATTGTGGAAGTACGCAATGGATTATTGAATCCATCCGTGAGGTGCTTTTAGCGTTACCCTTTGCATGTGTGGATTATTTCCCCGGGGAACTCTGTTTTTGCTCCCACATGCTAAACGCTTGCCATTTGAATCGTGCAAATCTCCAAATGCGAGACGTTCCTGAAAACAAGAATTGAGACTCAGTGAGGTTTAATCTGAGTAAGGGGCATGTGTATTACACGGAAGACAAAGCCACATATTTGCTCACAATTAAGCCGAGGTTAAAATGGCATCTATGGAGACATGTATCCCACAATTAAGAAAGTACATTTCAATAGTGATGACCTCCTCTTTGTAAGGTTAGCAATCAATACACTGATCTAATCAACGTCTTAATTGTACCGTGTATAAATATCTCAAATCTGAAATGGATGATAGGTAGGTGTGTGTTTGTGTGTGTTACCAGGATGATGTTCTTCTTGGTTCTTTCGGTAAAGTCACGTAGAAGGGAAGTAATAAAATAATAAAAATAAAACATAATAAAATAATTCTCACGACGTTTCGGCCACAACGCAAGCAGCCGTCCTCGGGTGAAGAAGGAGGACGGCTGCTTGCGTTGTGGCCGAAACGTCGTGAGAATTATTTTATTATGTTTTATTTTTATCATTTTACTATTTCCCTTCTACGTGACTTTACCGAAAGAACCAAGAAGATGAATCCCTGCAGTCACGAAAGCTTTAAATCGAAATCAGGATGATGTTGTTACGTCATTAACTATTCCTATTGGAATGGCAAATGCCACGTGAGAAAATGTCAAGAGACGTGGCCACACAGCACGGGAGAGGCTGCGCTATTCCAAACTAAGCGAGTTCAATTTAAGAACCCAGTGCTGGGCCGATTTATTGGCCCGCCGAGTGGTTTCAGGCAACAGATAATAGCAGCGTACACGCTGCAAAAGGGGGCCATGGTTTAATTCGGAACAGATTAGGACAGAACGCGACGCTCAGGGAATTTATTCAAGAGCACCAGCAGCAGATCACGCAGAACGAGTCCGTCTGGGTGTTTTTTTTTGTTAAGACGGCCTGCAGGTGCTGTCCTCCGTGCATTCAATCAATGTATTCATAGTTTTAGATGCAGCCTACATTAAGCCCACTGGCCGTGTACGATGTGGGGCAGTCAATGATAAAGTGGAATGCATCGTCAGTATTATAGAAACGAAACGATGTGTGCCATTGACTTGTTTTGTTTGCTACACTGGAAGCCAGAAAAAAAAAATTGCAAGTACAATGCGTATGGCAATGAAAGAAAACAAATGTGTATCCGTGCGAAAGCCAACCAAGTCATTGTTTATTATCAGGCAATACATGAAGAGAGCTGCTTCAAACCTCCGGTATAATTCCAAGCTCAACGAGTCATTTCCTACCTTTTTCAGCATTTCATCCTCGATTAACCACAAACTATTGTTATTTGATCTTTCCTCCAGAAAATGGAAACTACACTCTCGTGATGTCGGCTGTACAACTTATATGAGTGTCGTTAAAATTATCAGGAAATAGTTGCGTGAGCGAATTTCAATTTACAATTTATTTACATACATTTAATACCACAGTCATCATCCACTTTGATGGCATTTGGTTGAATAATTATGATGGGATTGCAAACTGAATCCCAAATTTGATTGGTGGATAATTTTGTTCCCAACATTTATATTTCTCCATCCTGCATGCGACAATCTTCTCCATATATATTAGTGATAATACTAAATGCATGTTTTACACGAAGATCACTCTACCCAGCTCGATGGCTCTGCGGTAGTGAGTAGCTCGCAATCAGGTCATGAGCTCAAATCCGGGACCAATAAAATAGGTACCCACTTTGTACAAAGTCAACAGTAGTGTTCCTATTGATATACTAGTCCCAGCCATAGGCATTTGGAATTTCTTCCACTGGCCCAGGAGATTAGCACTGCCTCAAATGCTCATTTGAGCAGAAATTAACTTTGGCTTTTTTGACATAACGTCGACACTGCGATGTGGGTGACAAGAGCGAGTGGCAGGGAGCCAAACGTAGCTCTATCAGCAGCAGACAAGCAGACGAACTGGCAGAGACGCACATTGAACAACGATCTCCGTACCTCCCTCTGTGCTTCTGATCACATGCACAATCTGTTTCGCGAATGCACACAGCGCAGCTGAGAGCATCTCAACAATTCGCGGTCGCTCAGTGGAAGCAGCGTCCTTTGGTGCCAGCGTGATAGCGTGCCTACATCTTGCCCAACAAGGCAAAGCTTGTATCACTACTATTATTATTTATGATGCGTATTCACCCAGGAAAGCTTCACTGAGGTCTCAGTGCTCTTCTCTTCATGAGAGTCCATGCTTAGTTTGCATAGATTGTTGCTTATACTACGATTGAGTAATTGCTACCTTGCACGGTGACGCCGTTGATGGTAGTACCATGATGGACATTAACAACAATATGTAGCAATATCTGAAAAGTGTGCAAAGGAGGCATGGAGAAGGCATTATTTGAATTGATCTGCAGATTTACAGGCGGTGAGACATGGATTCGAGAAAATAGGCAGGTTAATGACGGAATTAAAACCGTTAGGAAAAATGATGATGGTCAAAAATAATAACAGCATGGAAGGCAAGGGATGGAATGCATCCACCGGTGTGATGGAGGATTGAAATCAGCTCGTGTGTAGGTTTCAAGTGGATTCCTACATTGTCGGGTCACAAGAGACGGCAGGAGCTTTGGGGTCAGGCCTTTATCCAGCAGTGGATTGACCTGGCTAATTCATGCCACATGAGTAACAAGACAATTATAATAACAGCTGTTGTCATTGTACTGAGCCAGCACCAATGAGATTCTGGGTTTGCATCCAGGCAGCTGCCCGTGATCAAATGTAGCAAGCTGATGATTCTCAACCTGTTCACATTAGAACTGAGTAAAAAAAAACGTTATTTCGATTTTGCTTTGCACTTAATGTAGTTAAATTTCAGCTTGAAGAATTGCAAATCTTGTTTTGACTTGAATGAGATGAACAGTCGTAGTCTGTAGTAGGGTATTTGGGAAAGTGTGCCCCCTAGTGTGCACGTAAAGAGGTCACATGAAGGAATTTCGAGAGCAGTTCTGTAATATATCTTTGTGTAGGCTGCTCTCAAATTCCCTGTCGTATTCTTACCTTAGAGTTTCAAATGGATACTTTGTCTCACTAGATAATGCAAGTATAAATAATGCAAGGATAAAATCAGGAAATAAATAACGTACGCAAAAATATGACTTGCTTTTATTTTACCAATGACTCATTAATCACAGCAAAACAATGCAACAAAATGAATTAAAGCCACGGAAGGAGTCTTCATTACGTTAACCACAACGCGAATCGTCATCACAAATTGCTCATTAGTAAAATTACAATATATTCATGTCGGTAGCATCTTTCTATTTTAACAGCATTAGAAAATCTAAATTATGTTTCCAAACCAATGTTCTGTAAGGAGATCACCAGACCTCACGGTTTCCCCACCAAACTAGGGCTTCGAGGACCCATATAGGCGACATGGAGAAATGAACAGTTACATTAATTTTCAGGTTTAAGCCGTTTTTACGTGTTAAGGATCGTGAACATTTGTTAGTTTACGATTCTGTAGCTCGCAATAAATTAACGGGAATTACTTTTAACCCAAAAGAGAATCAGTTGCCACCAGGCTTACAGTTTTATACTCGTAAATGCCCATGAGCCAGAGCATCACGTTTCATATCTCCCCTCATGCACGCTGTTAATTTATAAAAAAAATTATACCGCAATATAAAAAAAAACTGTGTTTGCACTATTCGACCAATAAAAGCAGGAGCACGCTCCAAGGCACCATGGGGTCTTCATGCTGGAGTGTTTGCTATGGCTATATGAGCAAATAGTGTCCAACACTGAATAATCTGATAACATGTGGAAATCACAGTGACTGTTAATGAAATAAATATAAATTATACAAATATTACACATCTCCAAGGACACAGGCCTCCTCTTTCATTGTTCCACGTGAAAATTGCTCACTGGCAAGTGTGTGCGTGTGTGTGTGTGCGTGAATGCATTCACACACGCACACACATAACATCCATGTCGTTATCAAGAGGACGTAATGACTTACTCATCCAGCTAAAATTACGTCGAAAGAAAAAAACGTGCACTTTAAATGAGGTTGCCAAAGTGAGGATTTGTGTTGTGAAATTGCTCTGACAGCCTTTCAGACACACCTCTTTGTGAGTCGTAATGTGTTCAGGCAGAGAGCATGAATGGGAGCGGTTCCTAGAGCCCCAGCCACTGCTTGGCACGGTCACTGTGGATCGACTGTTAAGCCCCCTTGTCTGGGCCAGCAACAGCTGAATAACGCTGGGTAAAGGGGCCAGCACCAACATTGTGTCTGCCCAACATGGGGGGGGGGGGGGGTGCTAAAGCAAGTTCCTGGGCCAATCATCAACTCAATTGTGCTCGTCGATAGACTGCAGCGTTGTTGGCTTTGAGTTTCGCACCGAGACACGCCGTCGTTTTATTCGAGAGCCCCGCTCGCTCAGTACATTGTACAATGAATCATAGAACCCGATGGGGGGGGGGGGGGGGTGAACAATAATTGTTTATTCACTCAGTTTGTTCTCGTGTTGATTGTTTTGCGTTTTCCTCCTTTGACCCACCAGCCCCTTCCTCGCGGCCACCCCTGCCCCCTCTCACCGTCGAGCGGACGTCCCTCCGTCAACCGGCGGTAACGACGTGAACATCGATTCCCCCTCTGCACGGGCCAACCCTCCCCCCCCACCTCATCTTCTTGTGCCGGAGGGCCCCACGAGCAAGGAAGAACCGGGGTGGGGATCACGGACGCCGGAGCGCCAAATGAGCCAGTGAGGAGACGAGACGCGGAGGTCACCGGCGGAGCGCTGGACAGGTCAAGGCGAGGCGACGAGGGCAGGAGGGATTCGGGGAGCGACCCACGCAACGTGGCGACGGTTCACCTCCCCGCCATGGCGTCCAATTTCAACGACATCATCAAGCAGGGCTACGTGAGAATGCGGAGCCGCAAGGTCGGGGTAAGCAGCTCGGCGGAGCTCTCGCGGCCGCCGGCGTCCATGAATGTTTAATGAAGACGCGTCTAGCGACACGATGCGCATGTGAGCAAATGCGTGCGCATTGGGTACGATTGAATAAATAATTGATTGGCACCACCCGAAATTGAACTGCGGCTGCCGAACAATTTTCGGAATCTTGTTAACGCTGTTTTTTGAGTCGCACAGCAGGCAACGTTTGAGAAATGCGTTGCATTGCAGCTCAGCCAGCCAGTTATGCGTTTCAACCCACATGCTAATTTCAATAGGACGTGGGCCACTGCATAAGCTAAGTCAAGATTATTTACCCTTAAGTAAACTCCAATTACTCTTCCTTCAATACTATCACCATTTGGCCAGCATCCAGGAATTACAGAAGGAAATGAATCTCCTTTCACTCAATCAATGCTGCATTAATGGGAGTAGAGGGTTTTTTAGCCAAACATACTATACTTATTCTTCTTCTACCATTCAGAATGAAAACCAATTACGTATATTCGAAGACCCAAGAAATATCTGCAATTAACACTCGTAAATACCGGAATGGGAGTCACTGGAATCTCCTACTTAGCAGCACACCAGGTAGGGCAATCACATTGAGTGACTTACATTTTTTATTTCCAGCAATCTTTGGTTTTATAATAAGTTTGCCAACAGCATCCACGGCAACCTTGGAAGCAATGCGTGCGGCTGACGCACGAGACGAAAAGCTCTCAAAATAATACACCAACAGGATGCGAGCCAGTTGGCAGGCACTGAATTCCCCTGACACCAATGAACTCAACAGACTCGAATCACGTGGTAGAGCAATACCCGCCAAGGCAAGACTCATTTGGCGTTGTCCACCATTCCTTCAGAGTGAGCGTAACGAGAGGATGGCACACTTACCGAGGTGCTTTCTCGATGCCCTTATGGATTTATCTCCCCCCCCCCTGCCTCCGCTATTCCCCAAGAAAACAAAACATACTTTACTTCCAATGCTTTCTTGAAAGGTGTTTTCTATAAATTTCCTCATCCCTTATGCAACAATCCAAGAGCTATGAAACTAACATGAAGCACATCATCGATGTTTCTTCTCAAGCTATATATATATATTTGTTATCTCAGAGTGTGACTTTGTGATTTTAACATGCATAATTCATGCCACTTTCCTCACCACCCAATTCAATTTCCACGGGCAGCTAATAAGTGACCGAGGGCCAGTGAGTGAGCAGGCAATAGGTGAACCATGAATTCATGCAGCGTATAACAACATTTCACTTCATAATAAAGTTGTTTGGGTTAGATCGCGTTATTTATAAATGTGTCGTAACCCTCCACCACCCGACACATCCAATCAGCAAAAAAAGTGTCACGTTGACAAAAGACAAATAGTTCACTACTTTAGCCCACCGGTGTGTTGAAGAATGAATCCACAACATTTACAAAAACAATTTGTGTGGATTCACTCTTCAACACACTGGTGGGCTAAAGCAGTGAACTATTTGTCTTTTGTCAACGTGACACTTTTTTACTGATTGGCCGTGTCGGGTGATGGAGGGTTACGACACATTTATAAATAACGCGATCTAACCCAAAAACGTTTATTATGAATAATATTGGTCGCGAAAGCCAACTCCGTGTTAAGCTGACTAACATCATTTCCCTTCTCACCTTACGAGCAGCCTCCACAGTCGCCTGGGGTTGTGCATGACAAGGCCTGCCATGGTCGACACGAGACAGCAACGATCCTCAGCAGCCTGAATTCTCATGCCTTGCCACACATTACCAAAAATACCACAACTCTGCTTTATGATATGATTTCTAAAAAAAAAGGTTAAGGTGCAGCCCTGCAAATTGCTTGCTCATGCCACTGCTGGCAGAAGGGCCTCCACTAGAGCTACTCTCTAGGCTCTAGAGGGTCGTTTGGTCTACTCTTCCATGCTGGCCAGACATTTTGGAAGAGGTGGGATCACCCGCACTCTACCCCACCAGACGCAATCTGTGCGTCGAATGCAGTGTACTCGCACTGCATGGGTGGACAGGGGCATTTGAGAAAAGTATCCGTTGTTTAAACTGGCTTTCTGGTCGATCCAACCGCCGACCTCTGGATTGTAAGTCCAATGTGCCAAACCATTACATCGAGACTGTATCCGCTCTAATAGTACAACATTTGAAATATGCCCACAGCAATGCAGAGGAAAACTCTCTCCCACACACACCACACGCACCACACACACACACGAGTGCGCAAAAGGCGAGGCACGGTTCTGAAACGTTAATTCTTTCTGCGCGAGTGCACAGCACAGGCAAAACCTTGAGCCTGCTGTGTTGCGGGTAATTTAACGAATGGATAAGTTGAAATAGGCACTTCACCCTGGGCATGTCCATGCTCACTGCTTCATACTTGCAACCGTGTGTGATCACAACAGGGACATTACATCTGGTGGGGTTTTATTGTCGCTCATTTTCCGAAACATGGTCCACTCGAGGCTCAAAGTTTATCAGTTTTGTAAAAAAAAAAAAGCCATGCCATTATGGTAGCAATCTATATTGTATGTTTTCTTACCTTGAACGTCTTTCCAGAATGTCTGAAAATGTAAGGGGAAAAAAGCTGACTTTTTTCTTTATTTAGTTTGTTTCTGTAACTTTCACAATCTAATTATGCCCAAGCAACACTTGGCTGGTGCGTCTGATGCCGAGATGTTGTGATGGTAATTGGTTCTTTACCCTTCTATCTGGCAACAAAACTGACACCTTTTTGCAAGGAGTCATGTTTGCATAGACCGCAATACCTGCAGTCATAATACAAACAAAAGAACATAACTCCTTGCAAAAAGGTGTCAGTTTTGTTGCCAGATAGAAGGGTAAAGAACCAATTATCATATTTTTACTGGCAAATGAGGTCCCCATAATGTTGTGATGGCTTTATCATTAAGATGTATTTCATAAATAAACACAATTTATGATGTGCTGTCACACCATAATTGCAAGGAGGCTTCAAAATAAAAGTACTGGCTGTCGGGCAAATACAATTGGTGTTTCATGTCAATGTGCAGTCCGCACTTCAGTGGTGAATGCCGACAGAGAGGAATACGTTCAGGAGAACAGCCCTAAGAAGAACCGGAGAGCCCTGGAGCTCGAGTAACGAAGTGAAGCTGCACGCTCCTTCTCTTGCCCTTGGTATTCTTTAGAGACAGAGAGGAGGAGAGGAGGGGGGGACGTTACTTTCACAGTGTCCCCATAAAAACCGGCGAGGCGGCTCAGCGGTGGAGTGAGTGGCTCGCAGTCGGAAGGTCGCGAGTTAAAATCCTAGTTGCAGGTTGACGAAGCCCATTATCCCTCTGAGGTCGAAAGGATAAGTACCACTTTTGTGAGAAGGGTCAACTGTGGTTGTGCTCTGGAAAGACTCATCCCTGCAAATAGGAATGTGGAATCTCCGCCACTGGCCCAGGGCTGTCAGCAGGAGACAAGCACTGCCTTCAGCTGATTTGAACAAGAAATTACTTTTTTTTGTTATATATAGCCCTTTGTCAGTCCACTGCTGGATGAAGGCCTCCTTGATGCGTTTTTGACCAAACTTCACCACACTCCGATTAGCACGGTTGGCTAAGTAGGATGCGAAAGAAATTCAACATACATACACTGCTCAGGGTTGGTTAGTGAAGAGTGAGCTCAGGATAGGTCCAGATTCTACCTCACCACCAATGTTAACCATAGCTAGGAATCAAACTCAGGAACTGAGCTACAGCTTCCACCCCATCAATACATGAAGTGTACAGTATTCAAGAGTCAATGTCAGAAATGCACGCGTGAATTTACATTGATAGGTAGAAAGATGATGTTACGCAAAGGACCCTGTGCCTGTCAAGGTGAGGGATTGACGGATCAAGTGACTGGTTCGGTTGGCCACCCGTTGGAAGGAGCAAGATCAAAGCAATAACGCTTAGGCTGCAATATGTATTCACCCAGAAATATGCAGGCTAAGCAACCTCAAGCAATTACGCAATCAAACGCACTGCACTCGATGAGCAGAGATCATAAATCTAACGGAAGGGAGGTTGGTACCGTCTCTACAGAGTAGATTTGCTGCACTAGATTCTAGGTCAACATGTGCAGTCTCTACCTCGCGACGCAACAACTATTAACGGAACGCAACAGCGTACAATCAACGACCCAACTCGCACACCACGATCAGCACAATACAGAGCATATCCTCTAGACATGCTCAATCAACCACCTACCCCCGTCCCAAAAACACTAGCGCCTCGCCGCCGTGGGTCTGGGATGTAGACTTTCCCCTTATTGTCCTGGGTCTGGATGACCTAACAACGTAGTGTCGTACAGGGTCAAAGTGTCACGGGAGTCGGGTTGACGAGGTCCCTGGTGGTCGTGGAGATGACCCTCCGAGGAGGACTCAAGGGGGTAGAGGTCCGCTTTGTTGTTCCGCCTCTGTCCCGGCCCGGACTCGGTCCGTGCTTGTCCTGGCCCTGGGACCGAAGTCTTGGCCACTGGGATGCTGCAAGGCCACGTGCTCCCTGAATAATACCCACGTACTTGCAGTGGAGTGGCTTGACAAGGCCCAGTACTTGCAGTGGAGTGGCTTGACTTGTCCCACGCACTTGCTATGGAGTTGCTTGACAAGGGCCCAGCACTTGGTGCGAGCGTAATTCCCCATTAGCAGGAGGGCACATTGCATGTGCAATAATTATTCAATTGCAATGCAAGTGTAGTGGGTTGTATGGAGACAGAGTCTTCTTAGGAGGCAACACGTTTTTATTTAATAACTAGCGGTAAGTACCCGGCATTGCCCGGGAGAAAAAGACAGACACACACATCGACTTACACACAGATATCGACCAACACACATAGAAACACATCGACGTACACGCACACACACATATAGACTCACACAGACAGACATCGACTTTAGAGACACACATGGAGTTACACACACACATCGACTCACACACACAAATAGACTTACACACATATCGACTAACACACACATATAGGGACTCACACACACACATCGACTTACACAGCAATCCCCGATGATGCCACAGCTAGAGCAATTTTCTCTCTCTGGTGAGCCTTAGAGAGGGGCAGTTTGAAAACAAAGATCTTCCCAGTACTAGCAGGTGCATCAAAGAAAAAAAAGACTCGATTTGTAGTCTCAATGTCTTCCAATATTTTCGTGTAGGCTTTTATTAGTGCATCCATCAGCTTAGTTTAATTTTCCTAAATCAATTTAAGAAGCTGTAAAGCATAATAGCATATTTAATGTAGGATCTCTTGAGCAAGGGCATGCAGGTTGTCCCTGTAGGCTGTTGGTAGTCCCATAGACGTGAGGTCTCTTCCACCAATGGAGTGCAGTTTGTCCTGAAGGAGGATGAGGGCCTGTTTGAAGATGACATCAGAAAAGTTGACGTCGAGGTTTGTATTTTCTCATCGAGCTCCGTGGAGGATGTCCTCACTCATGCCCTCTTTGTATTTTTGCCAGAGTCCCATGTGGTTAGATGGGCTGCAAACTTGAAGATTTATGCAGAAGAGCAATGTCAGTTGGAAATGGGACTGACCAAAATAAGCTTATGTCATAGCTTTATGAAGATGGTGATCATGCGCAAGAATTGCACGAAGATTGCAAGCTTCCCTGTATGTTTGACAGACAACTCATTCCACTGTTTAGAGGTCTTGGAAAGATTTGTGCCCTTTGGCAACACAAAGAAGCATTTGGAGAAAGTAGCACTGCTCATTGTTGGGATGAACTGTGTAGACTCGTCCTAAGGCATCAGATTCACCATCAGCAGCACGTCGCTTCCATATTTTTTAAGCAGTCCATGTATAGTAGGAGGGAACTTAATGGTAAAGCAGGTTGGCAGCAAATGGGTCACTTGGGCACAAAACAAAGAACGCCATAAGGGTGGTATCTTGTGGAGCCAGGGTCTGTTGTTGGGCATTTGCTTTGGTGACGTAGATGCGTTGACCCTTTTGGAGGTGAAGTGCCAAATGGACTACTGTGGGGGAATGGTCATGGATGGGGAAGCCAATAATTCAGAAAATGGTCTCATTATTGCTGATGTATGTTCCTTGGAAAAAAGAGTTTTAGCTCATGCACACTTTGCCCCTCTGTTTTTTAAGGCAAACACAGCCATGTCAGAGCCTTTGTTGATGTATTGGCAAACATATTTGATGGCTTTTTTAGAATAGCAGAATTTTACATTAAAGTAGGCCTGGAAAATATTGCACAGAAGAGGGCAACTAGGGAATGATCCACCGGTTGTGAACCTTAATTAGCGAGTTAGTGGCAGGTCTGAGCATTGTTTGAAATCCACCATGCTCAGTATTTCTGTGACCATATAGAGAATATCCATCATGGGCCGACTGGGTGTGTTTCAAATAATTCCGTGGATACCTCTTGGTACACCTGTGGTCAAGCATTCATGGCGCATTTGGATAAAACTGGCCACATGGCCCATGGACCAATTGGTTGCAGACCACATAGAAAAAGGGCAGGGTGTTGATGGGGGTGAGGTAGTTCAGCACTGATAAATGTGTCGATGTGACTTGCATGAATTGTTTCCCTCATCCATAGTGAAATGTGAGCATGAGGAAGACGACGTGTTTGCCACCCAATGGTGTGCAAGTTACTGCTTGTCTATCCAAAGACGCCGCCTTCATTGGTCGTAATAAGCATCATGAGGTTATAAACTTTGAGTTTTAAGACCCTCGCTAAGATGTCATGTCTGTCTGGTGGCTTTTGGTTTGGATAAAGGTAAACCTGGATCTCCTTTAATTTGGGATTGCAAGTGAAGGTGATGAAGAGATGGGGGGAGTGGCATATTGGCTGATGTACGTCATGGCATCCTGAGTCTTCTCATGCATGTATCTTGGTGGAGTTGTGAAGGATGAAGGCAAAATGACTAATCAGCCCACATTGTGAGCGTTTGCATCTCCTTTGGCATTGATGGCGTCCCAGAGATGAGCATACTGTTCACACGCAGGCGGTTTTGATTCAGTTGAATGTTAAGAAGGTGCTCACTCAATGTTGGCATACTCATCGACAACATACTGGTGAAAGAAGTTGGCGCACTATAATATGTGGTTTCCTCCTCTGTCCATGATCACGAAGGAATATAAGTGTTTTTAGAGGAGGCAGTTTTGTGAGGATGTCTTTGTCCTGCAGCTTTGTAATTGGAGGAATCTTGACGTGGTACCCATCTTGGCCTTGCGACAGGAAAATGTGTTATTGTAGGGCATCGTATGCTGTTAGTGTCAGGAAATCGTGCGAAGGTGTTTTCTTGGTATGGAAGAACAATGTTTCTCTCACAATGTTCCTCATTCACCGTAAGTAAGCAAGGTCAACAATATTTGGGGCATTGAACCTCCCTGCGTGCTCCCCACTTTGGTGGAAAGTAAAGATGCGGTACGGCAACATTTAAATGGGTGATGTTCCCACGAATGTAACAAAACGATAGACGAAATGCAATGGGCTGCAGCTAAGAAAGTCCAATGTATTTAGCAGTATAACATATTAATCAGCATCGCAAGACTACGTATCAGTAAATATCGTGACGTGAGCAATAGAAACAATAGAAATGCATTGAAGAAATAAGCTGGAATAAGTGTAAATTAAAGAGCAGCAGTACGCACAGCTAAGTTGAGAAGCAGCCTACAGTCTAGATTATAGACTGCCAGTACGCCGACTCAATAACATAAGCATTGCTACAGTCGACGTAAAAAGCTGGCAATACGGTCAGCAGCTGAAAAAGCAGGATACAGTCGACATGAAAGGCTGGCAGTACACTGAGTGAGGTAAAGAAGCCGGCAACAGATTATAGACTGGCATACACTCATAATGGGCAAACGCAAAATTAGCAGTGTAGATAATAGAGTGCCAGTGCACTGACGTTAATTAATCAGCAGGCAGCAGGCCACAGCACAGACTGGCAGTACACCATCGCAGCGTCATAAAACACACCTAAAATAGAAAAAATGTAGCAACCTAATAATAAAATATTAGTTTTCTGCATACAAATATTATTATTGTAATATTTGACAACTTATTTGTTTCATAATAGTCAACAATGAACCTGAGTTCTTAGCGAAAGATTCAATACTATTGTACTTTACATTGCCGCGGTGAGGCCTAGTCCCGTGCAGAGCCCGCGGCCTCACCTAGATTACCCAGCCGGAGGAGGTGACACATTGCGAGGCAGGGGGCTGGGCCGCTCTCCCCACCCGCGCTGCAATAGTGCTATGTAAGCGCTATAATATGAATATTTACGTACTTTATATCAGTAACTGCACGCATTGGGGTGGGGGGGAGAAGAGGACATTAGACTGTGAAGAATGAAACTCAGCGTTGTGCGTATATTTTTTAAGCATTGTTAACACGAAAGAAATGTTTTAGCGATCGTGTGTGCGTTGCTAGGGGCAACTCCTGTCAGCGTTTCACGCATGCGCAATTGTGTGCTTTGTCCCGCGGCGGGCGGCAAAATTAAATAAATAAATAAAGAGAAATCGCGTAAAAACTGTAAAAGGTAACGGATGGGAAAACGGAATAGTGCTTGCCCATCACGGGGCTTACGGCGTGGTAGCTGGCAAATTATTTTTAACGTGAACCCCAAATCCCTCGCAAGTGCACGTGCGCAGACAGACAGACAGACATACAGATAAAAAATGTCTTTAATAGGTTAGATAACGGCAACACACGAGGTATCGCCTCCGGGCTAACGTGCCCTAAGTCACTGGGACCACCTATCTTAGCCCTCCGGCTAACGGGACCTAGGGGAGGCTGACCCGACCCAGCCAAGGTCCTCGGGTCTCGACCACTGGCCCACTCACACCCGGCCCTGATAAGAACTTGGGGTCCGAGGATCTTCAGGGTCCTATTCTTAAGGCGAGCTCTTCGGTCTTCGGCTTGACGCTGACTGCCGGAGCCGCTCGGGTGTCAGGCTTTTATGCGGTTCCCAGGGTCACTCCGCCCCTGGCACGCCCACTCTCTGGAACCTTCTGGAGGGACCTAGATTGTTGCGTAATCCCCCAGCCCCCACTGGGGGCCTGGGGTGTCCACCTCCGGTTCCCAACTGCCCTCCGGATTGCCTGACCCAACAGTCCTTCTTGGTACAGGAGGGACCCGCTATTGCCTCCTGTTGACCCATGGCTGGAGCTACATATGACCAGTAGTGGTGACGGCGTATTACGCCTGACAATTACCACGCAAGGAATCTGCAATGCTGGCTTTATCTTGCTAAACAACGTGAAGCCGCACCGTTTATTCAGCCGGTGAAGTAAAGCCCGAGTATTTATGCTGCCGGTTGTTGGTTGTGAACAGAATGTAAAGGTGCAGCCCTGCAATTGCTTGCTCGTGCCACTGCTGGCGGAAGGGCCCCCACGAGAGAGAATTCTAGAAACCCCATCTCGTGGATATTTTGGCCTACTCTTTCACGCTGGATAGATATCTTGGAAGAGGTCGGTCACATAACCTGGCAGATTTTTATGCATTTTCCAAAACTATCGTGAACTCTCAGCTCAAAAAAAAAATAGTGGAAAAAGAGAGATTGAAATTTTCTAAAATATTGGAACATTAGCATGGTGAACATATTCAATTGTGCATTAAAAATATATAAATGTTAAAGGTGAAGAGCCATTATTAACATTATAGATCCCCGGTTTCATCTGGTCAGAATTAATCTTTGACTCGACTCCCTTCTACGATGTAAATGACGCCATCACTGCAACTGCTAAACTGACTTACTGATGGACAAATGTAATGTTGCTAAATGTAGATACTGTATCCAGTATATTTAACACAAGTGCAAAGATGCCACATTGGAACGCAGCACAAGATTCTTCCTCTATGGACTGTACATCAATCACAGCATGACAATCACATGCAGAAGATTGCACGCGTGTGGCCATGAGAACCTCACAGGAAATGAGCAAAGCCTTCAGTGCAGGGCCGTTACATTACAGTCACTAAAACCACTCGCATAGATAATGAGTAATGAATCTCTGTAGTGCGATGAACGGTATGTGGCAAATATGCTGCTGTATATTCACGCGCACAAAACGTGGACGTAATATTCTGAGCTTTCCAACAACAAAAAGTGCAGGCCTTATAAAAGGAAATTAATAGTATCATCAAATGCAAGCGCTGCCCTTTAGTAGGCAATCAAGCGTGTTTATAGTTCTCCGTGCTATTGTCTCTGCAGAGTTATTGTCTGTACAGGGCTAATCATCCATGCTATCGATTGTAAATAAATGCACTGATTGGATGGGAGAATGTGAATATGGGCAGATGAGTTGCCATTCTGCATTTAACGGGAAGCACTTTGCGAGGGAGACCTTTTAGTCTGAAAGATAAAAGTCCAGTTGTACACTTCCTTGCAAGAGAAGTGACCTTGAGAATGCACCCACTGGCCTCAAAGATAAACTATCTCTCAACGTACTCCCCAACTTGCAATAAAGGGAGTGGCCGATGGAATATAACCACTGACCTGAAGACAAACGCTCACCCTAATGTACATCGTTTACTCACAAAATAGAGTGACCTTGAAAGTGTACCCAGGAGGCCTTCATACACCACCTGCGTTCCAACATTTACGTTGAGTAAGCAAAGCCCTCTACGCATTGACCAAACGTGATAGTTCTCTTCCTCCACTTCCACACTTGGCACATTTAGTCGGTCAGATTGCAAAGGACTTGTAAAACTAATCAGTGTTGATGCATCTCTCAAAAGAAATTGAGAGCATATGTTTTACTCAGCAGGGTAAGCTCTGAGGGGATGGCTGAATAGTTGTTCCAAATGCGCCGCTAATCGTTTGAAAGATTTCCCTCGCCAATAATACAGTGTTTTAAGTAAATGAAATAATTGCAAGCGCGTGTGCGTATATGTGTATCGTACAACGTGATGAAATATGGCAAGAATACAAATTCCAATCCTTGCATTATTTAGTGGATTTATGATAGGCCCCCCATGATAATATCATGTAAAGTTATTATGTTCTGCATTTCCTTTACAACCAAATTAACATATTGTAACATCAAATTAACATATAATTTACATATTTACCAAGTTAGCACCACTACAATATACGTGCACATGAATCAATACAAAATTATATCCAAAGCAATTTATTTTGAAGACAAACCACCGTAC